TGTTTTAAATTATTGACTGTTATTTGACTCCCATCATCTTTAAATGAGTTCTGTGCTATAGTGTAAACAACGAATTTTTAAGGTCTGTTTTCTCACTTGTTCCCTTTCAATGCCACCATGTGTCTCCCAGTGTGTGTGCACTCACACACAAATATTGGCTGTAATGAAGCAGGCAAAGCAAAGAGTAGGAATTATTTTGCAGTTCCAGCATATGCAAAGCAAATTACTGTAGAACCCTTGAGGGCTGCCCAGAGAGTTATGTGCTTTTGGTCCTAGTTATGTGCTTTTGGTATCAGATGAGACTGACTGTTGAAACAGTTGGAGAAATGAACTTCAAAGCTTTTCTGCTCTGCTCACTGCCAATCTTCATGTTAGACAGGTGATGAGATCATTCCAGATGTTAAATACCTTACTGGACTTTGAATGTGAGTGATCTTCTGCTGAGCCCAAGACTGATGTCTGTCATTAAGTCATAATAATATCACCTATAGCTATTCATTAGATTTTTAATTTTCAAAATGTAATCTGGACCTAATTGTGTTTAAAATAATGTCTTATGTAGTACAGGAATTTTTAACTTATAGCTGAGAACATTTAAGACAGAAAAATTAGAAAGCCTGGGCAAAATCAGAATAAGTTACATCTGTTTATTCAAACTTTTTCAGTCCAGTGGTTAGTGTCTGATCTACCACAAAAGGATTTTCATGTTGGCAGCTGCAGAGGCAGTGGACATAAAGTCTTGAGTCACTTAGGTCAGATTTTCCTGCTTAATTCTGCCATGAATGTAAAAGAGCTAGTTGAACTTGATGATCTCAAAGGTCTTCTTCAACCTAGCTCTTTCTGTGATTCTGTGATCAAAATTACAAAAGTTTTTTTGAGAATCTGAGGGCAAAATTGAAGATAATTGTGACAGTGCTCACAGGGATTCTTGATGAGGGAAGAGACAAGAATGTTGACTCCATGTTCAGAAGGCTTGATTTATTATTTTATTATATATATATTACATTATAACTATACTAAAAAGAAGTAGAAGAATGGGTTTCCTCAGAAGCTAGCTAAGCTAAGAATAGAAAAGAATGAATAACCAAGATCTGTGTCTTGGACAGAGAGTCCATACTGTCTTGTCTGTGGTTGGCCATTAATTGTAAACATTCAAGATGGCCCAATCACAAACACACTTGATGCATTCCACAGCAGCAGGTAACCATTGTTTATACCTTGTTGCTGAAACTTCTCAGCTTCAGCAGGAAAAATCCAAAGAAAGGATTTTCACAAAAGGATGTCTGCGATGGATAATGGTTATATTTTTCTTACTTTGATTACAAGTAAAATCCAGTGGAAGAATTGGCATGTATTAGGGATTCAGGATTGGTGTGTAATTCAGGATATGTTGCCACTTGCATAAATTATTCTGATAGATTGAAAATGATAATGGATTTAAAATGCAGTAAAATGAAGACAAATTGATTCAGTGTCTGATGGGAGCCTACAAGAAAGAGAGGCAGGGGGTTTTAGAAGCACATGTACTGACTGGACAAGGGAGAGTGGATTCAAACTGACAGTAGGTTTATCTTAGATAGCAAGAAGAAAGCCTTTACTGTGAGGGTGCTTAGGGCACTAGAGCAGGTTGCCCAGAGAAGTTGAGGATGCCTCATCCCTGTAAGTGTTCAAGGCCAAGCTTAATGGAACTCTGAGCAACCTGGCTGAATGGAAGGTGTCCCTGCCCATGGCAGGGGTGTTGGAACTAACATCATTGAGGTCCCTTCTAACCCCACCCGTTCTGTGATTTTGTGAATCACTGATAAACTGTCAGAATTGCAGTCTGCATGTTGAAAACCTGCACGTAATCAAACACATGTGGCAGCAAAGACGCTGACAGAGTACAAATTCTACTGCCTTGCAGTCACCTACCCAAACAGACTGCCCTGGGATGCACTCTGAAGATTAACAGTTAGAAAAACTGGTAATCCACCAAGTAGCTCAAGTAATAGCTGTAATTCAAAAACTGCCATTAAACAAAACGCCTTCTCTTTCACTCGTAGGAATGCCTGAGTTCCTCAATGTTTAGTGAGGCATGATAGAAATTCTGCATTCGAAAATACATTAGAAGACTTCACAGTATGTAAAATGAATATATTTGACAGGACTATTACAGATTAACACATTCTGAATTAACACCTCAAAAACTCATAGAAATGTTTAAAGACAGAAGAACTTGGTCAAGTTTTGGAAAGGTCTTTTTGCTCACTCTGCTCTGATACAGTGTACAATGAGTGGCTACCATGGTAACATACTTAATTTAGCAATCTTCAGATCTACTCTGGCCTCAGTTTTATGAACATCTTTTTCAAAGAGCAGTGCTAGAATAGATGTTTGCCACCCATAATTATAGCTATTAATCACTTTAGATAATGCAAGGATGTGTCAGCTCTATATTTACCTAGTAGCATATGCTTGTGTGATGAAAAGGCCCATACAATAAAAAACATATGCTCAACTTTGGAACAGTAGTATTTCCTTGCGATGAGAATGGCAAAAGATTAGTCAATATTTACAGCAAAAATATTTTTTGTTTACTACAGAAACAACTCCAACACCCCCAAATAGAAGAGCATCAATGACAGTATCAAATAGTTAAAGAAACAGCCGGTGAAAATAAATAGAATTTATTGTTCTTTAAGTATGCAACTGAACAAAAAGAGGAAGTAACTTATTTTAAATATTTTCTTCCTTTATAATGAGAAGATCACCCAAAAAAGTATGAACATCCCAGGCTATTTTTTCATTATATATTTATGTGATTTTATCTTTCTTATCCTTCAGACTAAAATGTATTTTTTGAGCACATAATCCCTTGGAGAGAATATCTTTGCTTTGAGAATGTGTGTAGCTATCCCATCTTGCAATCCCCAAAATAAGTAATTTATCTACTCTGCAGTTCCCAAAATATGGAACTATCTGCTCAGAAGCCATTTCAGATAATCATTGATAACATAAGGAGAATTTGTAAGTGTAAATGACTGGTTTCAGTGGATAAACAAGCGCATGTTTTTTTCAATAGTAAATTTTAAAATTTCATCAAATTATGCGTATCTGTAAATTTCTACATTTATGGTTTTGTAAATATTTGTTTTTAAGGTGTCTAGGCAAAAAAATACTTGCTGTAGAAATACATGGATATCTCTTCCAAAATTTTGAGCATACCCAAAGCTATAACTCATTTGTGTATATCTGAAATTTCAGGTCAATATGTCTGTTGATTTTGGAATATCCAGTAGCAGATAATTATGGCATTGCAGTAAAAATTTATAGTCATTCCTCAGGTCATAAGTCCTTCCAAAAAAGGGGACAAAAGCTGCATTAAACAATGAACAGGTTTTAGTGCTGAATATCTTTCTGCCACAATATGGTTCTCAAACTTTCTGGGCAGACGTGGGAATGCAATGTGTCTTTGCATGACATTCCAATCAGTAATACAGTGTTTTAAATGAAACTAAACTCCTATTTCTTGTCTATCTTATATTTCTCAGTTTTTCAGGTTATAAAGGCTGACATACACAGGTGACAAGAGTAGTTTCTACCCCATTTTTGCCTATAGGGGTAAATCTGCCCCATTTTTTACTACGTAATAATTTCTTTACTAAAGATTAGTAACTTATTTTTTTAAATAAGTTTTACATATAAAAGATATTTAGCTGCAAATTGTTTTATAGCATATAAAGGCTCTTACTAGTGTAGTAAATAGTGAAGGAAAGAGTAAAATCCTTTTTTCTTTCCTTATGTTTACAAATAATTTTTTTTTCTCACTCCTACTTGTACTTTCCCATTCAACTACTGTTTTAGTTTTTTGGTTTTTTTTTTCCTGGAAGCACTGTAACTAAAAACTTTTTTCATGGCAGAAATGAAAGCAACTTATTTTTTACCAAAAAGACTCCTGCAAATTTTGCTCTTGAAATAGAGTGGAACACTGCTATCATCTGCATATGCAATCTTGGGGGCATATTTCATGTTTTCATATTGAAGGCAAAAGGAAAGTTTCAGTTATCATTACAGTACTTTTAAAGTGATGAAAAGAAATGAAAAACAACAGATGCACTGAAGCGAGACAGTAAATTTGATGTGCTCTTATCAGAAAGCTGCATTTATGAGGCTTCCACTCTGTTGGGATATGCCTCCAAATGCTACAACCTAACAGGAAATAAGGTGAAATTTCTACAAAATGTGTTCTGTGATCACTGAAGTCATGAAAGGAATGAAAAATAAGTTAATTTTAGCTCTGGAAATTGATTTGTTTCTTTGTATGTTTCCTGATATTGTAAGTTCAGAATAAGCTATTTGATGCAGACAATTTAATGAACTTTTTAAAATAGGTTACTAAGTAGGTAGTATGAGCAATTACTAAATATTTTTGTATGCACCTTATAACAGTACCATATGCTAAATTGCTAAGTATTTATTTTCCTATCTTCAGTGTTGTAACACCTCTGAGTCAGAATACTGTTGTGCAAGACAATATTGAATTGGAGAAATAAAAAATGGCCTTGATCCATCAGAACTTAAACCAGAGGTGCTAGACAAGAGAGAACAGGTCAAGAGGAAAGGAAAAAGGTAGAAGAAAATGCTAGACTACAAAATTCTCTGTAAGCATAGTCACTGGGATTTCAGATATTGTTGAAAATTCTGTTTCTAGCCCTTAAAACAAGTACTGAAATATGCTTAGACTAATAAAGGTGTTTTGCCCATAAATGCAAAAATAAGTGGGAGGTCAGCACTTAAAAGCTACTCGAATCACATTGAGATAATTTCTTTTAACCTTTTGCATTTCTCAGAGCATATCGTGTTTCATGAACCCTGCAGCTTCCTTGATGAGACTCAGAGAAATACACAGAGGGGAACCTAATTAAGATTAATCCATATATATTTAACTTACTGATGAATGTTATGGTATTATGATATGTATTCTGAGATATCACTAATGATACCTTATCTTGTTTGAACAGGTAAATACCCTGTTTCCACAGACTACCAAAAGAAACTGCAAGAGACTTCAAAGGTAAGAACCTCTTCAAAAATCCTTCATATGATCGTTTCTTCTGGTTTATCAGAAAAGAAAATGGCTTTTTCACTGTCTGACTGATAAAGAATTGCAGATGGCATTAATTGACATAGACTTCCTGTTTGTGAAACTCTTTACATATGAAAGAAAATTTTCCTTGTTACTCTTCATTAAAAGGATAAGTTTAATTCATTTCATAACAGCAGAAACAAAAAGGATTAGTGTGAAAATAAAATATTAAAAGCTTATAAAAATTTTACCCTTTTTTTCCTTGTCCAAGATTAAAAGAATACTGTTAAGATACTAGAAAATTAGACATGGTAAGGATTCTGTTTTTTGTCAATATGAAAGCTTTCTATCTTCAGTTTTTGAAAACTTTTTACTTGATACAACTTTCTTTCATTCCTCTAAGAAATATAAGCTAGAGTTTCGTTTCAGAGATGTAATTAATTTTGGGAGCTCTTTCGATTTAGAATACATTTGGTTTGCATTCAGTTGTGGGGAATAATTCAGTGTCATATTGTGTTCAGATTCTATTTGTGGTACTTCATTGTTCTTCAGCGACATTCCCTGCAACAAATAGTTGAATTTTAAACCCTTCTGTCCACTCTTACAGAAAATATTCTGATCTCTCAAGGACACAGGTGACAGAAGACAAGTTTTCACTAAAATTATTATTTCTAAGTCATCAAGTTAGAGAGGATGACAAGGACATTGTGGTCTGCCCTAAATTTTGATTTGCTAAACATAGAGAAAGAAAGAACAGTAATTATTGTTCCAGTCATCATCTCTGTGCCTACTTTATTTTAAAACACTAGGTATTTTAAGAACCTGTCACCCGTCATTTATGCATATGCTTTAATGCATACACTGACAGGATAAGAGATCATTATCAATTAATATGTAGCCACACTTTTCTACCCTGCCTTAAAAATATGTCCCATAGCTTGTTTGTCTTCCCAAAACACAGCTAATTAATAACAGATATTAATGGAGAGGTTCTGAGATAGTTCCACAAGTTTTTGGGGATTGTGCCAGATATCATCTGAGCTCTGAACATTTATGGGGCAAAAGCATGTAGGTAGAGTATCTAAGCTGAGACAAAAAAGTCAAAGGCTCATTTCAGAACATGCTGTATTCCCAGACTGACCAAGGACTTCAAGCATGGTCTTTACATCCCAGAAGAATTCCTGAAATATTCAGCTTTTCAATATTTTGGCTGTGGTCTTGCTCATCTTTTTTTTTTTTTTTTTTATTTTTTAACTTTCTTTCAAAGAACCTTTTACATTTTTTTTCTTGACTGAAATCCCAGGGCATTGTGGGATATAGGAAGCCACTTTCCTTATGCCTCAGTTGGCTACCTAGCCCTCTCTTTTATCCTTCCCATACACCTGTAATGCTGAGATTCATCCAAAACCTCAAAATTTTGAGTAATCTATTCTACTTGGAAAATTATGAAGGAAATCATATCATAAAATAGCTGATGTTTTTTGTGTTGTGCAGATGTTTTGCCAAGTCGGTTCCATTTTTTATTTTCCTTTTCAGGTCTTGTCTTTATATAAAATAAAATTGATGAGGTAGTTTGTTACTTTACCTTTGATAGACTTTGATCATGCCAAAATTGAAATGGTATTGGCTGAGTGTAAATGTTTCAGTAAAAACAGGAAAAAAAGAATGTTAGAGGTGAAAAATATAGAAGAGTTTAAAAAAGTGTGCTAAGAAAAAGCAGAAAGGAGGAGAAAGAGAGGGTGCTATACTCCAAGGTCCTATTTGAATGCCACTGAGGGTGCCTAGGAGAATCATCATTGAAGGACATAAAGTATCAGGATGAGAAAGTACATGTCATATTTCTGACAGGTACATCTAGCTGTGAGGAAAAAAAAGCCCTATTCAGCATAGGAGGTTAAAGGAAGAATAGAACTAATGACATTACAATCCTCTTGAGAAGTCTTGTTTTGTTTATTAAATAAGCCACGCTAGTAAGATAAGTAAGAAGAACTGCTTAGTCTGGCACTGTTAATTGATGCTGTCCTGGGAGTTTATTGTTATGTATTACTCTTTCTGTCCTTTCATGTAAGGATGTCAGCACATTGCACCTGACAGGATGTACTGTATATTATAAATTATTCTAATTGGAATAGAAAAATGGCCATCAATTCGTGCTACTCTGTATAACTAATGCATGATTTTAATTTGTACATCATATTATTTCCCAAGTATGAGGTTTATTTTAGGATGCACTTTAAAGGAGTAGTGCTTCTATGAAGTCTCCAGGTGCAAAGTAGTTTATTCTATCCAGTTAAGCTTTGGCACCTATCTATATATTTCCCTACACAAATACTGTGAACACGTCTGCACGACATGTACATGATAGGAAATGAGGACAAGAGATAAAAGGAATCCAGCCTTTCAAGCCTGACATGAGATGCTTAGTTAAACAGAATCTTGTGCTCTTTCTTGACGACAAGTTATATTGACAGCAGGACTACAATCCCACAACAGGGACACTAAAGGGCAAGTATCAACTTGATTTTTGCATATTATGTCAGGAGTGTGTGGAATGCAAGGATGGGCATACTGTATCTTGTACAGGTGGTTATAGCAATCTGAGTTCCCCCCTTCTGTAATTCTGGAGCATGTAAAGTTTTAGAGGTAATTTAAAGCAAAATGAGTACCTCTCATTGCAGTGATTTACTTCAGGGTTGCTAGTTGAATCCTGAGGACAATTATTTCTAAAGAAGATAGCTTTCTATCCTTCTGAATTCCATTATTATATCAATGCAGCTAATAGCACAATTTGGGAGAGATTTTTTTTTTACCTCTTAAAAAATACTAGTTGATGGTTTTTTCCTTAATTTCAGTAAAAAATCAAGAAGAAAAAGTAAGTGCTGTTTGCAATCCTGTTTCTCCTGAGCAATTGTGTGTATTCAGTTTTGGGCCAATCCTGTCTATATTGAGCACTTTAAATATTGCTATTCCTGGTAAAATGTGATGGAAGTGCCTTAAGAGTATTTATGCTAAATATTTATTTATTGCATGGCTTATTGCCTTGTTTTTTTTCTCCTTAGAGGAGATACATTAAGTACCAGAGCACTTCAGTTGAGATTATTATGCCTGTGCGTTAGGAAGAATTTTGAATTCAAGCATGTATCATGAGTTTAGTTTAAAATGTAACTTGTCAAGCAGGTGTATTTCTATTAGGAGAAAAAATAGTTGCCACCAGTAGCATTTTCATCTGTGTGACTACTTCTCTTTAAGACAGAAATAGTTGTTGTGGTGAAAAAGAGATGAGGGTCAGGAGAATCTCTTGAAAGACTTATATAGTGGTTTTCAAAGGACTGAAATGACTTGGAAGACTAGTTTCAAGAAAAATCAATGCAATTTAGGAGATGACATCACCCAGCAGACAAAATTATTTCAGGCAGGATCCATAAATACACTTAGACATTGCAAGAGCTAATACTCAGAACCATCCTTAGACACCTTCATTGCCTACATAGAGCACAAAAACAGTTATGCCCCTCTGAGTGAGATCCACAGTCAAGAATGTATGGAGCAGGCTTTAACCTATAGTTAATCATTATGAAATCCTAAGGTATGGTGAAAATGATAGTGAAGTGACAGGATTTCTGATCCTCTCATGGTTTAGGATTAATGCTGTTTCTGGTGACTAAACCTTGTTCTTGTTTAGTTTCTTAGGATATGGAACTGAGGTTACCTGTTTAAAAATGTAATAGGAGATCTGTCCCTGGAGGACACAATTAATATGCATTCTACTTACTGTACTCCAGAATCCTGTGACTGACTATAACAGGACCCTGGCAAGTTTTCCATGCAAACGGAAATTCTTACCTTTCATCTAGTGAGTCATCCTCATTAGTAGAGAGTTATACCAGGCAAAACAAATTTCTTTCTGTCCAGTTGAATCAAAATTCCAGGCACAGTAAACAGAAGAGAAAGAAGTGGTTTGGGCTTGGTGGTTAAATTTGGAGAATAGAATTAGAGTTCAGGTCTATTTTCATGCATATGGATTCAATATGTAATTTACATGAAATATATACTAAATTACATAAATACTCACTGATTAGATAAGTGAACTTCCCTTGGCCTGTTCTTGGACACTCAATCCTATTTAAAAAAAATAGATTTACAAAAAAATCAATTACTTTCTATTTGTGGTCTCTTTACATGCAGAAACTATTTGATTCAGTGTCATCAGTCTAAAATACGTACAGTTAAATGGTTTTATCCTGACTCTTCAGAGAGAAGAAATAATTCAGGACTTTTTGCTTTTGCTTTCTGAACTTTCACAGTCTAGCATCATAACTCTGAGACGTATAAAATGAACAAATGTTTTCTCACTCATTATCTATTAACTAAGGCATCTTAGTAGGAAAATTACTACTTCTTTTGGAATTTTATAAAATAGTAATAAATCCCAAAGCTTCTGCTACTTTTTCTATTTGAGGGAATTTGGGTTTTTGGTTTGGGTTGTTTTTTTTTTTTTTAATATAAACTGCTGCTTCTGAAAACATACTCTCATTAGCTGGATTTATATAAATCCTCTACTCAGGAGCAGGAATTTACTTTAGAAATTCTCCTGCTAACCTCACTTGCCCAAAAGTAAAAAAAGACAGGAATCTACTCTGGTTTTTCTTGTTGGCATTTGGTATGCCAGTTGAGAGATTAAAATTTAAATTTCTACAATGATTTGGGAGAAAAAAAGTAGCAGTTTCTGGCAGTAAGCAGTAATACATTACTGATCTTCTCTGCTTGGGGTTTTGCTTCTTTAATCTCTCTGTTTTAGTTCTTACCTCCATCCTTCCTATCTTTGGGATTCAGGATGTGTGCATTTTCATATAGTTGTGTCTGAATTTTGTCATGCACCTTAGTTCCAGCAAGTGTTATGAGGCAAACTGGTTTGGGAGCTTCTGTATAGTCTAGGAAAAAAAAGAATGCCTAAATCTCCTGGCCCTTTGGTTTTTTTTACATGGAAA